GTTTGTTTTCTTCGCCTCAGGTAAGTCTGTGTATACTTGTAAAGCAGGACCCCTCAGCTTAACAGCCAAAAAATGTGTTTTCTGCGCTTCTGTCCAGGAGTTAATTTCACTACAGAGATTAAGGTGCGTTAACCAATCATCTAGTTGTGTTTTACCATCAAACGTGTCAGGAACTACTACTGGTTTCTTAACGGGAGCATCAGAAAATTCTGGAGGAGCAGTCACTACTACAGGTGTATTGGGAAAGGATAAGCCAATATCACATACCGGATTTGATACACCAGGAGCTGGTGTATCAGTTATGTAGGGTTCAGTATTGTGCAAGTCTGTGAGCCTACCTTGCCTCTGCCCATAGTCGTCCATGGGGGTGGACCTACGACTAGGGTCAGGAAACCTATCCTCATACCCCATGGACGGAGCAGACACGCCCATATTTTCCATGCCTACTTCTACCAATCTTTCATCTAGCTCTGTCTGTAACAAACCTATAGTACGATTTATTTGTTCGTACACTGCTTCACGTCTGGAAGCCATATCTAAGCAACTACTTATGCTCTCTGGTAATACATTTTGTTTTTAAAAAAAAGAAAAGAAAAGAGAGAAAACATTGTCATGGCACCTGGCCCGTATCCTAAAAATTGTAAGGGTATACAATGTTATACCCGGATCTTCCACCAAAAACTGTAACGGCGACCCAAAGAGGCCAACCGTCAGTTGGGGGGATTAACTAATTAATCAAATATACATGGGTGTTGATCACAAAATAACCGACAAAGGGACAAGTATATGCAATATCAGAAAATAGAAATAATGAAAATTTAATTAGCGCGTCTTCGCTTACAAAATAATTAACCAGGGGAGAGCATGTACGTTGTAAATATAAATGATAGAATTTAAATAGTTACTGACAGAGCAGAGTTCAGACTGGCACCACTACGATACAACACCGTAGTCCACAAGCAGGCCATGTAAAAACTACTGGGGGCAAGGGGGGTAATATTGGAACATACTCACAAGACTATGCAGACCACTGAACCCTTTGGTGTAATGGTGGTGGTGGTGATGCAAATTAAAGAACACAGCGTCTTGCCCAAAAACGAAGGCCAAATTAAACTAGGCTTCCACCGTCAGCCATACATGTACAGGAACTTAGAAAATATGGAACTAAAATGCACACCACCATCCACCACCATGCCCCAGTCGCAAGTCCACGCCCTACTGGGCTTTCAAAGGGGTTTTATAGTGCTGGGTAAAAATATGCATAAGAATTTCAAGATTAGGCATACTAATGCAGTGTGTCTTTGGTACTGGGGGATATTTGCATAAACACTAAGTACAGAGGTATGGGGGCAAGGAACTTATATCCCAGTATTGTGAGGGTAAACAATAAAGACTGCCATGAGAGCTCCATCTGTGGTTTGACTGCAACCCAAATACTATTCTATTGTGGTGTAAAGTAGGTTAAGACTTAAGTTGAACAAAGTAAGCTCTGAAATAGTTTTGTGGCATTAATCTGACTTGAGAACAGATGTAATACATGACTGCTATGGATTACTGTGGCCAAAGCGCTCTCTATTTAGTTTAAAGGTGCAATTGGGACCATGATAAAATCAAATTTTGTTACAATATGCACGCACACACACACCCATCTATAGAAATTGCCCTGTGGAGACCTATACAATCTTTCCCTATTGTGGAAATGTCTCCACAAGGATACAAATTTGAGCTCACACACACACACACGCACACACCCATACTTGTTTCAGATGACTAGTGTGGACTTTCCATTGCTTTCGTGTAGTTAAGAAAAACCAGTGAAAAAACTCATTTTTCTGAAACTGTGAAAACTCTTTCAACCCAATTTTTTTTCTATGATTCCCTTTAGTGTTTCTCTTCATTCTGCTACAGATAAACCTAACCCAAAAATGCCTCTAAACCTGTTTTCCAGAAATGGGGAAACACTGTGTGGACGTGGGGCAAGTCCACACAACGTCGGTGCTACCTACATTATGTGGACGTCTTTTGTTCGGAAGTCCACACTGCGTATGTAAGACAAGCTCACACGGACGGACAAGGCGAAAACAGTATGCCCCTTCGGCTTCGCCGGCAGGGCATAAAAAAAAAAATCTTGAGAGACAGGCGTTTTGGGAATATTGTTATGGTTATGGTTATGGTTTATATTTTTCATATCATAGCACAAACAACATAATAAACAGGAAACTATATAAAGAATGACAAACAATGATATGAGGGATCCAGGTAAAAAGCATATGCTTGTACAAGACCTGGAACCCATAATTACAAATTAAGCTAATAAATTAATATGTACATACAATAGGCTGAATTCACCATAAAGGGAAAATAAGTTTGTTCACCATAAAGGGAAAATAAGCTTTCTTGTCCAAGTTAACCTTACTTGGTAAAAAAATGGAAAAAATTAACTTGTACTAGATAAATATTCTAGTACAACTTAATTTTCATTAATAAAAAAAAAAAAATGAAATTACAGATCACATGTAAATGTAAAAAAATTATGCCTGCAGCACGCCATTCGTAAGATGCTGAATGGCGCACAATAAGGCACACAAATCTGAAAATCTACGGTCTTTTTTGGGGGGGGGGGGGGTGTCACTTCAAAAGATGGTTTAAATACCCAAATGTCTAAAAAAATACCCTAATTTGGCACAATAAACTCCTTATTGTGCGCAATTCGGCATCTTACAAATTTACCGTATTTTGTACAGTTAACTGAAGTAGGGCTGGGTGCATGTGGTTGTGAAGAACTGCATACTTGTATACACAAGCTGTACTGCTGCATGCAGTATTTGCCGATTTGGGGGCACTTTTTTTTTGGGGGGGGGGGACAACGTTGAAAAGAGTAGATTAATTTAACAAATAATGAGTTTAACAAGTGACTTACTTTTATTTTATTTTTTTTCCGTTTTGCAAGCCAATTACTGATGGTCATTAGTATAGGTTTTCCCGGAACAATTTCGGAAAATGTGTGATTAAATTTGTGAAACATAAATTCAATTTGGCGCCGAGTTTGAGAACGACGTACATCCTGGTTTCATTTTCGCAATAACTAGCATTCAATTTCATTTTGCATCAATCAAATGAACGAATGTGCATAACGTTTCATTTAAGGGATTACAAATACGGGATTAGGCTTTCGGTTTGACGTATGTGTTGCCGATTATTACGAATGTGCAATCCAATTCGCAGAAAATCGATTGTCTATTGTGACACAGGCTGAATTGAACATTCTTTTTCATTTGTTACAATTTAAATTCGCATTTTCTGCATTCAATTTAAATAAATTATACAGGCCTATACAAATCATGATACATTTTTGATTCATTAATTAATCAATGTATGCCTTATTGATCATTAATGTGTTTGTTCTTATATACACGCCTATGTGAAATGTAGGCAAATGAAATGTGAATATGATATATAACATGGCCAATATGAAATCACTCAAAATAATCTTGTACCGTAGCCATATTATTGAGACGGTAAAGGGACACATCACGTGTCACGTTACATGGGATCTGCATGGGGACTTTTTGAATGTTCAAAAATTCAATCATTCAATCAACCATTCCACAACTGTTAATTTAATGCATAAATGAATTCCAATGCTTGACCAGGCATATGTTAAATAACACTGCGAGGGAAATCGGCTGCACATTTAGCGAAAAAGATTGATGATAAATTAAAAGGAAAACAGGATTGCGGATGTGCCTTCGATTTCGCGCTAAAATGAATTGTCAATACACTAAATGCAGAGCACATTCGGGAAATCGTACGCTGATTTTTTACGACTGAATGCACTTTCACGGAAAAAGAATTATCATTTGTTAAATAGAAGCAGAGATTTGGAACGTTCATTCTATTTCGCACAAAAACGAATGCTTCTTTTACAAATTCGTGTACACATTTTCCGAAATTGTCCAGGAAAACCTATATTTACATAATAAACATCATTTCATACAGAATTTTATTTATTTCTATAACACTTTTTGGAAAACACATGCACTTGATTTGAAAGTCTATTTTTGAAAATCTGGCTGCTAATAAGGAATAATATTTTGTTTATCTGCCACTGACTTTTATTGAACTTGAAATTATGCTTAGTCTCTTTAATCGGTTTGAAAGTCTGGATTTGAAAGTCAGTAGCCGATTTCACGAAAAATTGCGTAGCTCGTGCAATTTTATAGTGCAAATGGGCAAAAAATTTACGATCTTTTTTTAACGAAACGTGGCGTAGCTGCACAACGTTTTAAAAAATCTAAACATCTTGGACAAGGATAACAGCAGTTTGTTCACGAAACAGTCGTTGAATCACTTCAGCCCACCAGCCTATTTTTTATTCCCAGGACGGTTGGGGCCAAGTAATAAATAATTCAGCAGGTCATGAATTATTCAGTGATCGGGTCAGTGTGTTTATTCATGAGAACAGAACAATGATATTAAAAGCATCGTTGTTATTAATCAACCAGTTACATAAACGCAATTTCATACATGTACTTTAAAATGCGTTAATATACAAATAACGAATGTTTGTGAGTGCGATGGTAAGAATAATTTCATGAGTTGACAGATTGAATGTTCTATTCCACGAGGCGAAGCCGAGTGGAATAGAACATTCAATCTGTCACCGAATGAAATTATTCTTTCCATCGCACGAACGTAAAACATTCGTTATTTGTTTTATACAACACCTGAATAAATTCTCGTCATTTGATTGGTAAATTATAAACTACAATTTATTTTGATTTTAAAGATGTTGAACTACCCCTTCACGAAAATGTTTGAACCCAACGCTGTAAGCGCTGGCTCTTTGGAACAATACGCGCTACGCTGAACGCGCACACCAGCATGCATTTTGCACGCAAATACCGCGTCACGGAACAAGCGCAAAGTGAAACGGTATAACGCATGGGTATAACGCATGGTCGCACCGTGCATTATACCGAATAATAATATGTCACGTGATCTACAATTCACCAATCAGATGACGGGGATTTATTCAGGTGTTGTATAATGTAACCTAGTACCCTAGTGGATAGCGAGATGAGCTATGGATACAAAGATCCCTGGTTTGAATCCATGTTGTCACTGCTCATTTTCAATGTGACTATTTTTCTGATCTAAATTTATCGTTTAGGAAATTTTAATTGAAGGGAAAAGAGAGAATGAGAACCTAAGTTTCCTTACAATGATTCAAATGAAAAACTGAATTATGCATGACTTGGCCCCACTCTCCTAGGAAAAAAAAAACTTTCTTCAGAATCGTGCAGCAACTCAAAATATTATTGTCACTGGTAAAATAAAAATTCTTTTACTTCAAACGATAACGGGCTTCACGACGATCACGATTTGCTGGTAAAATAGGTCATTTGCAGTCGCTACCCTACAAGTCGAGGACTTTAGGAAATGTGTCATGAGTGAAATGTTGCGCAGCATGAAATGCTGCGCATCAGTGTGAAATGTGGCGCAAGTGGAGTTGCGCCATTACGTAATGTTCTGTGAAATCGGCTGCTGGCTCTTTATGTTGAAAAAATATCTTTTATTCTCTATCAACTATAAACTTTGTCGGAACGTTTTAAAAATAACATTTTACAAATTTAAATTAAACAAGCCATTTGTTTGACTTCGCAAAACTTCACTGTGATGTGCAGCTGGTCAACTGAACATACATGTAGAAGCCAATCTATTTGTTTAATAACTCTGTCATTTGCTGGATCTCATCGATGCTGCAGACTGTGAAGCGCTTATTAATAATGTGCACATCAACAGCACCATTGTCATCCGTTACTACCTGTAAATAGGGGAGGGGGGAGGGTTATTACCAAAGATGTCAGTAAGCCACCAATGATTAGAATTGGACCTTTTGTTTTACCTTCAATCAACGAGAAGCTTATTTTCATGACTCTTTTTGTGCACCAGCACTGTCATTTCTAAATGTCCTCATTGGTAATGTTTGACATTAAAACTTATTTTTTTTGACACTCAAATTACTTAAAGATATAGTCCATCATTTGTGCATTTTGTTTTTGCAACAAAAGTGTTCAAATCTAATGAAGGATACTGAACAACTAACCTGATTAAGTTTCAGCTCAGTGCGCTTCAGCTGTATATTCCGAGAAAAAAAGCATTCTAGGATCTCAATTTCAAATCAAAAGTTGCTGAATCATGTTTTGAATTGTTTTGAATCGCAGCTATACGCGATGTCGCGCACTGATCCGACGAATTATAGCAACTGCGCCCTCCTGTGCATCGTGCCAATGCTTGCGCAAGCTGCGCCGAATAACAAAACGAACTACTAATTTAAATTTTCCTACAGTGCGTCTTAAGACACACCGTTGCAAAAGGCCTTCTTTCGTTGATTACTTCAAAATGATAGCTTGCTAGAAAGGTTAATTTCACAGGGAGTTTAGTCCACTTACTATCTTTCAACCAAGTATGTTTTTCAACAATAATACGCCAGTTATTTTTTCAGATGGCTGCAAATGATGGACTATAGCTTTAATTACCAACATAAGTGACATGGTTCTTTGCTGTTTGATGTAGTTAAAGTGTACATGAACACATAAAATTAACAGTTTATTTTGTAGTTTTATCTGTTTGGAACAACAAGATAATGACACAGAATACTTGTTTCAACAATTGTCAACAACTGTAGTACACAATATAAGATTTGAGGCTTTGCATGGTGGGGTATCGGTATCGTTTCGGTTTGCGGTAGTTCTTATAGAACTTACAGCAGGACTGTTCTTAACAGAACAAAACTACTTAGCAAAGTTGATAATAAGCAGGACAAGTTCTTCTCAGAACTAATATCTTCTAAGCAGTACCGTAATTTCCTGCAGATAAGACTTGTCTTATCTGACTTTCTAGACCACAAAAACATCGCTGCGCCTTATCTACAGGTGCGCCTTATCTGGTGTCACTTGAGTTCAAAGTGACGGTCTTTGTGTGAAGAATTCTTTCAATGCCGCAATCAATAATGCGGTCAACCAAGGCTCAACTCTCCAGACATTGTGACCGTATTTTCATTCCAACAATGCCGCGATGTGTTGATCCCCCATGATCGTGCTTTCATTCCAACAATGCCGCAATGCATTGATCCCCCTTAGTGATCGTGCTTTCATTTCAACAATGCCGTCTTACAAACATTTTTCTTTGTGGCCGTTTTTTCATTCCGAAAATGCTGCAATCAGAATGGGAGACTTTTGACGGACAGTGTCGTAGAGGGCAGCAAACATAGCGGTCCCAGGCAATTTTTGGCGCGAGGAAGAAAATGTTGCAGTTTCATTGCAATAATCAGCCGCTGGCGCAGCTGCGCTAATCTTGCTCGAGTATTTTATTTAGCCTCTTATTAACGAGGTTCGTACCAATATATAAATATGCAGGGTGCAGCCCGTGCCTATGGATCTATGACAATAGCTCTCTTGAAGGAGGAACTAAGGAGGCGAAACGCCAAAACATCTGGCAGAAAAAAGGAACTCGTCGAGAGGTAAGTCGAGGACTAACGTTAGGCCAGGCTTAGCCTTTGTTAACCTTGGCTTTATACTACTTACTAGTGCAGATAGCGCTTCCTATTTTGTCAACAGTTATTGTCAGCTAGGCCTACCATTTCTTTTGACATTTAAAGTCTTTCGAGCACACGTACAAAGAAAATTAGGCCCTAGTTATTTTGAAGAAATAATGGCCCATCAGAAGGTCCTGAGTAGACCGTCAAAGTCGAAGGTCAATTTTGTGAGCGTGATTGTCCGAAATGGCCACCGCCGGCGCGGCAGGCTCAGGCTTGCGTGGTGGCCGGTAAACATGGCGGTCGGTCGCTCCATGCACTGCAACTTTGTGTGAAGTACAGCGGTACGATTTTCTCCGCCCATGGCATAAACGGCCGGTCTACATGTTCCCCTGTCAATTGCAATTTATAATGCATGTATTTACTTTGCCAATATTTTTATGTTAGCCTATTTTCCTCAAATTAAAGCGCTCTTGGATTTTTTAAAAAAATCAATTCCATTATTTTTTTTTATACGTAGGCCTAGTGGCTATAGTTACGGTAAACGGTAAACATAACGCAGCCTTCAAAAATGCTATCGGTACAGCATTGTAAAAAAACAAGGCGAACGTATAAATTAGGCCTAGCCTACAACTCCCCATTTTGCTCGAGTGTGTCGATAGCTCGGTTGGTAGAAGACCAAGGTGTGCCTTTGACAATTTTTTCCCTCTTTTTTTTTCAAAAAGATTTCATAAGTGTAAGTTGTTGATCAAATGATGATTTTTATTTAAGTAGATTCAATTTTCTTCCCTAACTTCTGTGGTTTCGGTTTTGTTTTTTAAGGGGAATAAAGTCCGAGAACCATTTGGTTGATAGTCTGGTTCCCAAAAGCAAACATTGTGATGTTGAATACCAGTACGTTGGGGAACTAGACAGCTTCCGTAATGATAGCCGTTGAGGGTTGCGTTATGGGTACCGTAACTATAGCCACTGCGTTTTTTTATAACACGGACCTAGATAGGCTAGAGCCTAGTAATATTTAGAGTCTCTAAAATGTTCTTAAATTTGTTCTTATTTTCAGACTTGAGTGCTACGACAGAAATTTTAATTTCGGCCAAGGATGTGATTTGGAGGAGTCCGAGGAGGTGTATACTTTTTCTATGCCCAACTTGTCAACATACAAGGACGTAAATAGAGACAGCCAGGTTAGTAGACTTATTTAATCAACAGATAAAAATGAAAATCACAGCAGGAAATGTGCTGGGTAGCCATGTGTCAGAGTTTTTGCCTGCTGTGCATGTACATGTATGTGTGCTCTTGTGTGTAGGTCACTTGAATTTCGGAAATTATCATAGTGATCTATCCACTATGAAATCAAATTACTTTCTCAGGTCTGCTGATGTCTCCACAGAGTCTTGCATACAATTGAGTCTAGGTAATTCAAACTCAGCCAAGATACTATTTTAGCAAGAGACATTTCTGGGAGTCTTTCAGACATTGTTGGTCCCATTCATCATTATGTACATAAATGAATAGCTCAAAAGAGTTTGCAAGGGTTTGTTTTTCTTTCTTTCTTGCATACATGTACCTGTTCAACAGGCTACAGGACTCTCGCTATTATTATACCCACCCCCAAAAGCACTGTGTCAGTGAATTTGGATATGTTTGGATGACATTTTCACAAGTTACTAAGGATTTTCTTCTTTTATTTAGATTCCACATGTAACAAATGACACCCTGAAGGCCTTCATACAACAGTTTGGGAAGTCTGAAGATGGCAAGCCAGAGGCGATGTATCGGGACAGGTTTCTTCTCTCATTGCGTCACAGCAGCGAGGGTGACCATATATACATAGCAGCTAGAGTTGCAGCAGAAATGAAGAAGACGTTGGTATACAAAGTAGATGTAAAGTTAGACAAGTATGGGGTAGTGCAGGAAACTCAGTGTGAGTGTTCTGTTGGTATTGGCCCTAATGCTCACTGTAAGCATGTCGGTCTGGCTCTGTTTGCCCTTACTAAATAAACAAAAAGAAGGGGTTTTGACAATGCAAACTTGTACAGAAGTCCTGCAAACCCATCATCAGAGCAAGAAATATGATGGCTCCCCTTTGCAGATGTCTCAAATTAAACTTCGTAAATCTGAGGGGCTTCAACGACTTAATAATTTTGACCCAAGACCTGCTCAATATAGAAATACACGAGAGTATAATGATCACTTCAGAAATGTGTGGATAAATTCACAAGCAAAAGATCTGCCAATTCGGCAGTTATATGCACCTGCAAATATCTTTGCAGTGACTCATGATTACCTGGAACTAACTCATGAAGAATACTTTCTTAAGAGTCTTAATGTTACCAACATCACAGAGAACGATCTAGAACAGGTTGAAGAAGCTACAAGGGGACAAAGCACAAACAAGTTTTGGAAGGAAGAAAGAAGAAAACGACTTCATGCCTCCAACTTTGGCCGAATATGTAAGTCAGGGGTTAGAACAGACTTTGAAAAAATGGCTAGGTCATTGACAACTATCTCAGAGTTTTCCAGTAAACCCACAGATCATGGGATGAAGTATGAATCTGTAGCTGTGGAGGCTTACAGCAGTAAGACAGGTAATTTGGTGAAAAGTTGTGGAATCCATGTGTGCATGGAAATCCCATATTTGGCATGTTCACCAGATGGCCTTGTTGATGATGATAGGATTATTGAAGTGAAGTGTCCTTACACATGTAAAGACAGTGCAGTAACTCCAACAAGTGTGCCCTATTTATTTATGGACAGCTCTGGAAAAATGGCATTAAAACACAGTCACAACTATTATTACCAGGTACAGGGGAATTTGTTGTGTACAAAAAGGAAATGGTGTGATTTTGTTGTGTGGACAACGAAAGATATGAAGATCATGCACATCCCCCGAGATGATGAGTTTATAAACGAACTCAAAATCAGACTCCGGGATTTCTTCGAACAGTTTTTCAAGGCAGCATTGCTTGAAACTTTTCTGTACAGAGTTACTGACAAGTATGACTTTTCCTAAGACAAAGGCAAAAGAAAACATCACAGAAAAGAAGTCCTGGTTTCTTGAGCTTCAAATGTTTTAGTCATGGAGTGGACATACATGTACATGTACTGTAGTTGTCACACTTTCATTTATTCTCTGCTAATGACAAACAAAATTCGTTAACCAGACCAAACGCAAGAACTGTTTTTCTTTTACTTGGATTCAATGGAAAACTTTTGAGACCATCCCTTTTTTAGTGTTTGATATATAACTGTCATGTACATGTAACAGTATTATATTTTATCTAAAGTGCATGGCATCAAACATTCTATATATGTAAATGCCTTTGATGGCCTGTTATAAGTCAGGGTTCCTAGCATTTCATGAAAACAAAATTCCCTGATTTTCCCCTGTGTTTTATCTGATGAATTTTCACAATTCTAGAATACTTATTTTGACCTATTTCCACACCAAAAAGCCACCATAGCCAATCATTCAGTGGATTGGCTGTTTGGACATGAGACATAATATAACAAACTGACCACTTTCTATTTTGGGCCAATCAAATTCCCTGACCTTTCCCTGATTTGAGGCATTTTTTCTCAAATTCCCTATCTGGAAAAAGGGAAACTCATTTTCCAGGTTTTCCCTGATTTCCAGCATGGCCAGGAACCCTGTAGATACATGTACATGAATCGTCTGCAAAGGGCCCTATTAACTAGAAATTAATAGAAGATAAATATATTGAAAATTATTTACGAAATGTATGTCAACTTGACTAGTGACATGTTTTAGCTCACAAAACTGTTGCAATACATGTACATGTACATTAGATGCTCTGGGTACAAACTTACAGTGTTTCTATTTGGTGAAAAACTATATCTTATGTTGATAACTTTTTCTCCTGCCATGTGTGCACAATAAATTATAATTCAATACATACATATGTACATTAGATGCTCTGGGGTACAAACTTAGTGTTTTTATTTAAAATAATATTATGTATGTCAATACCTTTTTTTCTTCGAACCTGTGCACAATAAATTATAATGCAATACATACATATGTATGCTCTGGAATACAAACCTACAGTGTTTATATTTAATTTAAAAATATGTATGTCAATAACTTTTTTCTTCTGCCACGTGTGCTCAATAAACTATAATTCAATACATGTATACATATGTACAGTAGATGCTCTGAGATACAAACTTAGTGTTTTTATTTAATAAAAAATTGTGTATGTCAATAACTTATTTTCTTCGAACCTGTGCAAAATAAATTATAATGCAATACATACATATGTATGCTCTGGAATACAGACTTACAGTGTTTCTATTTGGTGAAAAAATATCTCTATGTCACTAACTTTTTTCTTCTGCCATGTGTGCACAATAAATTATAGTTCAATACATACATACATGTATGTACATTAGATGCTCTGGGATACAAAGTTAGTATTTTTATTTAATGAAAAAATATGTATGTCAATAACTTATGTTCTTCTAACGTGTGCATAGTAAATTATAATAAATTTAAATGTATTTCAAAGTCAGAAACTCCTTGTTTTTTTGTCAGCATGTCAGATTTGTATAAAGTCTAGTCATAAATACCTCAGACAGTTTACCAATTCTATTGGTCAAAAGATGATAAAGGTACCAACTTGTTTTAAACACCTTCATAATTTTATAAGAAATTTTGACTCCTGTTTTATCAACTCTAACAATCATACAAGGCAGTATTCATCGTCACATGACATAGACATGCGCAATACAATCAATGAGTCCGTATTCCATAGAATCAACATTTCATTTCACACATGCCAATTTCCATACATTTGAGGATTTTAGTACTGTACACATGAGACTCATACCATTAATAATAAGGCTAGAGGGGTGTTTCACATATCACATATCACAAGGTGAATATGATGAACACAATTGTTGGGAAAAATGTAAAATTTTGACTTTTTTCTACTTGAAGGCATCAAAACAAAGACTTGGGCAAAGTCTAGCTTAAATCTGCACAAGACAAAATTAATGAGTTCCCAGCCAGCATTTAAAAACCACTTCAAAATTTACATTCATTTTCAAATTGTGACGAATGTTACATTCGCACTGAAAATAGCCAACAGTTTGTCTTGCATATTTTTAACCATAGTTAATAGTTACAGTATGATAGCACAACAAGTCACTAACTACATGGAACGCAAGATATTGAGTTTCTGTCAACCTTCATTAAACTTCAAAACATTTTTGTGACGGATGTTACATTTAAAAGACAAGCACCTTTGACTCTTGACACTCAGTTCAAATCCCTGTGAATTTTACACACTTGCGAAAAATCCTAGTATTTCCATCAGTGTGTGCTGGTCTGAGGTAGCCTGCACAAAATATTCAATTTTTAAAATCACATGGTTTTAGAAGAAATCCGCCATTTAAGCCTGTGACGGACGTTACAATTTCCGTGACAAACGTTACACTCTGTGAAACATCAATGTTTGCTACACTGCCAATGGAAAATTAGGTTGGAATAATTGCGATTTGTCTTGGTAAAACTCACCTACTAGCTTTCTCTCTGACTTAAAATAAAAAAATCACAATATTAAACATGCGTGTTTCATATGTTAAAACAAGGTGCAAAAATGACCACAAAAATCCACCATTTTAGCCCCAAAACAATTTTTTGGACAAAAATCACACTGAACTACATTCCATCCCACTGGCATGCCACTCAAATGAAAGATCTTGTTGTCCCCATTAATTTAATACCACACTTGTTGTTGTGATGTTTGTAGTTCTGAAGATATAAGTAAATTTCCATTTTACAACCATGTCCCCTTTTTCATGGAATCGCCCAATTAGAGAAATGCGGATGCCATGGTGGTACGACTACCAAAATCTACTGAGGAAAACCTCCTTAGGCACTGCTTGGAATGATGCATTTTCTGAAGTTAAGCAGCATGAAACAAACGAATGCGATGTTAGATGCTAGAGTCATCTCTGTCTGATTGAGTGGCTGTGTGAGAATTTTGTACGTTTTGCCAAGACCAATAATTCTCTCAACATGGACTCGCTTACTGGAAATTTTCCTATCCCTTAAAACACTCTTTCCTGACATTCTATTCTTCTTCCTGAAGAATGTTGGGATGTTTATGGTGACATCTACTGGTGCAAAAGTGTCCTGGATATCAAATCCCTTGTCTACCATGATGGCGTCTCCTGGATCTGTTCTCCTAGTCAGTCCACTGCGTTCTGCTATTTGTCGGTCGCTAGTTGAACCTCCATAAGCACAAGACATATAACTGACAAGACCCCCTGGGGTCACTCCAACAACTGACTTTGCTGTATTGCGATTTTTGTATGTAGAAAAGGTGACTTGCTGAGCAGTGGGAGCTTTGGGTTTCTTTACAGGAAATTCAAACCCATCAAGGATAGTCCGTGTAGTGGGGAAGTTCCTCTTAAAATCTGATGGAGCATAAAAACTAACACAGTCTCTGCTGGGCCATATATCCACCTCTCTCCACTGAAGACTCATAAATCTCATCCAGGTTACAAAGATACAGTAAACTTCTGACTCACTTATTTTGAACATACGACTTAGTTCAAAGTTTGGCGTGTATCTTCTGCATTTTATAACAGTTAGAAAAAACTGATCTGGTACACAGATGCTGGGTCGTACACCGTGTAAGTATGTCAACTTAAATGCACTCGGCCCCAATGAAGCTAAAACATCAGAAAATGTGAGGTAATCTTGAAGACCTGTGTAATAATGCACTCCTGCTGAATCAGTCTTGAAATCCTCTATCGTAAACCCACGATTAGACTCTGTCTGTGTTTCGGAAGTGCACGTAGAATAGTTGGGCAGGGGATCAGTTTGAATGTGTACCTCCTGAATGACTGGAACACTCTCGATGTCAACCTGCATGGCAAGATTAAGATCTTGCACGACGGCATCATTCTCAGCTGATTCCCCTTTTCTGCATTCATCCTGTTTCACTTCTTCTTTCTCAAGCCTTCTCTTTTCATTCCGTTCCTTCAGTCGTTTTTCTCTTGACAGTGCTGGTGAAGAGGGTTCTACTTTACTCCATGCAAACTGGCTTGGGACAGCTGTTTTCTTTAGTTTTTTCTTGTTCACTTTGAAACCTGCAATTAACAATTGAAACATCATGATAAAAGTACTTAGATAAGTTGCATTAATGCAAAAGTGGTTGGTTGGCAAGAGCTTCCTCTCAAACTAATCATGAACATTCATAGAAGAGATTTTACAGACTTTTGTCTGAAATACAATTTATCTTTCAGACCTTTCATCTAAGTTTCAGCCCTCTTGTTCTAATTGGCTTGGTAATCTCATCCCTGTACATTTATGTTTTCAGCGTTTCAAGTGGGTGTAAAGGTATCTCTGTTTAATTAGGCCCTATTGTATTCTGTGTTGATTAATTAAGGACTCTTAACATGTGTAATAACATTGCAAAGTTTTTAAAAAAATCTGTGCAAATTCAATGGTAGACTTTTGAGATGCTTGGTGGCAGCAAACATACATGTAATGGTTCCACGTACATGTCAATTGTCCACTATTGTTTTTATCATGTTTGAGTTAATGTGCGCTTCTTCTTCCAGAAAGTACAATCCCTCTTAGAAGTTCAATTCCGAGTATTGTCGTACTACATGTGCAGTGTAAAGGTACGGGTACTCAAAACAATGCTAACAATAGCGGACCAGTCGTGTTGGACCATGTTGTATGTTTGCTACCACCAAGCGTCTCAAAGTCTCCCATTGAATGAGATGTTGTTGATGTTGCAAAAGAGAGATCTGAGCAAGCAATGAGACTCTGTGTTTCTTTGTTATTGTTTTTAATATGAACATTCCCTAACACTTATCGCAAATTCTGCCTGGTTGGTTGATTTTGCACAATGGACAAAAGGCACCATGGGAAGGAAACAGGAACAAACAGACAGTGTTCCTTTTTCCTTCCCACAATTCATTTCGACCATTAGTGGAAAATCAACCAGGCAGTATTTGCAACATTTATGCCACTTTGTCTTTGCCAGTACAAATTTATGCATGGATATCCATCATGTCCAGCAAAGAAACACAGTGCAACTTTACAATTGCAGACGCGGACATAAGAGAAATATCGTCTTAGCTACTAGTACTACACTGTCGTCCTGTTCATACCATGCCATGATCATCATTGAATATTGCTGAAAAATCGGGGGAAATTATGAATAGTTTTTGTTTTAAACTTACCCAGCACTGACTTCTCTTCGTAATCGGAGTCCAAAAAGTGCGCCTTGCACACAAGACTGCTAGCCGTTGGCCACCACGGTCGTATGGGTTTGAAACTATCCCTTTTGATGGCCCGTCTCCACTGGTTTCGTATTTTTTTGTCCTTGGGAAATGTGTGCCCTCCGCGGTGGCAACATCCGAACACGGCACAGCAAGATCCAGGCATTTGGTGCAAGGTTTCTTTGAATGAGGTGCACTGCTTGTGCACGAATCAAGGACAACAAAATACGAACTCTTTACTTCCGGGACCGTTGAAGCACGCCCTCTTGCGATAAATTAGAACTAGTCAAAAGTCTCCCATTACTTAAACGTTTGGAAATCGCATTCACTCAAGTTCTATTGTGTGAACGTTGAGGGTGTTTATTGTACAGGATATCTTCGAAGTCTGCTTTAGACTTAGGATAATATGAAGTACTAATGTTTATTTGTTGCACTTTCGTTTGTTTTAAGATATCAAATAAGTTTAATGATCTTGAAAACAAAACTAACACTAAGAGAAGCGATGTATTAAACAAATATCTTATGAACGTGATTAACAAATTATAGGTTTGAAATAAAGGAAAAGAACTTTAAATACAAAAAAACATTACAACAATTTTTAAAAAATATAATAAAACATTTTTGTTACGTCTCCCCCGGTGTGACGGGATTATTTTCGTATGGTATATACATATAGGCGACGCAAGTTTTTGTATTAGTCACCGGTAGAGGGCGCAACATCTGGCTCGGAGGGACTGGGCAAGTCTACGAATCTGAGCCAGCGTGCGTGTTGCAATATCTTCAGACAGCGCGTGGACCATCATTTCTGGCCGCTGATTGGGCCGCACTGCATTAACAAAAGGCCAAGGAAGGCCAGGATCGGAAACCGCAAGCAAGCATGCACAGCGCGCGTTGGCTGAATGGATGAAGGTCGGTATCAATTTACATTGGTCTTTTCTTCATGGCTCTACATGTGACCAGCCAATGTGGTTACGGTTTAATTCATCCTCCGAACAGTGTGATCGTTCTAAGGCAACACAATGGCCCCTTTGTGGCGATGTACCGACACCGGGTGATGCTGGTGTTCTTCTGTGTACGGTCAAACATGCGTCTTATGCGGCGGTGCGCCTAATCTGTTGGCGTTTGAATTTTTTTGTGGTGATTTTAGGGACCTGCGCCTTATCCGCCGCGAGCCTTATCCGCCGCGCGCCTTATCCGCAGGAAATTACGGTAGTTATTACCACATGGTGTTACTGCAAATCGAAATGTAGTACACAATATCTCAATTAACAACTCTGGTTTTCTTTTTCTTTAAAAGAAGGGCCTTCCCAAGGGAGGATCGGGGGGGGGGGGGGAATGGGGGCCATGCCCCCCCCCCAAAAAAAACCCCAATTTTTTTTTTTTGGTGTCGCAATAAAGGCAGCCTCCGTATACCATTTTAGTGTAACTCAAAAACTACTCTCGGTCAAATGTGGACAGCATCTTGACAAACAGTATGAGCGAAGAGGATGGACCAATCTATTATTGAGTGGTCGGGAACAACCCGACCACTTTTCCGTACAGCACGTTTCCGCGGGTTTTCTCCTAAACGGTTTATGATAGGAACTTGTAACTTTCAATATATATCGACCCTCATCATAAGTGGTGCATATTACTCTGACTTCATTATGACGTCATCGGGTGTCAAATTACAAGCGATTTTCGTTTAAAAAATGACGATCTTCTTTCATCTGTAACTCTTGAACAAAATGATCAATTATGTTCCAACCCTGTAATCAGATAGACCATTAATTGCTGAACATTTTTGTCTTGTACGTGAATTTGCTTGACCTTTACTTCTGGGTCTACCGGAGGTCAAAGTTAGGTGAATTCAAAATGAAGACATTAGCTAAAAACCTTTTATTTGTTCACTGAACCTTTAAAAGAACATGAAAAGTATACAGTAAGGGAAAAGGTTAAAGAAAAAGAAATATTATTTTTGAGATTTTTTGTTGTTGGAAGATTGCTTAAAAAACGAGATGTTCACACACATAAATACAACTTTTTTCGGCATAATTTTTCATAAGTTGCATGATTTTTGTACATGTTTTCATCGTTTTGGACCCCAAAAAAGAGTATTGTTGGATGCCTGAGCAAATTTATGTCGTTAATTGATCCAGAGGTGCTCAGTATTTTATTTTGGAGTTACACCAAAATGTACTACATTGTAAAAGGACTTTTTTGTTTTGTTGTTTGAGTGTAGCAATCCTTTTGACTTGGAAATACCCGCAAAAAGTCAGAGGTTCTGAGGAAGACTTGCTTTGTCTTCGTCAAAGCATTCCAATTAGAGGAATGGAAAAACAAGTTTTGCGGTATGTTTTAACGGTTTGTAATAATGAACCCCCCCCCCTTGCCCCACAAAGTCAAAAAAAAAAAAAAATTGAAAGGATCTACCTATCCAGAACCCTTCTCATCAGATGAGTTGCCTATTGACAGAGACTTGGATGACCAAATCATCTTATCAAACGTTTGAGGACATCTTGTAAGAAAAAGCATGCATATATACATTTTGGATATTATCACAAAATTGGATTTTTAATTCTCTTGTATATGGGCAGTTGAAAAGTGTACAAACCAAATCTCTCCCCCCCCCCCCCACAGCAGTGTGATTTGGGTCTACGAGCGAATACTTACCTGTAGAATATTACTTATGTATATTCCCTATACCTGCAGGTATTTCCCGCTAAGAGTTTTATATAGTAGCGCCCTCTGGTGTCCTACCCATAATATCCCGCGGCATACGTGCCTCGTGAGCATCCTCTTTTCTCAAGCGTTAAGTCAAATACTCATGGCACCGAGAAGGGTGGGGTAGGAGGTTCTACAGGGGGGTGGGCTGGGGGGGGGGGGGGCTGTAGCCCCCCCCCCCCCCAATTTTGTCTAGCCCCCCAAACACATTCCATAAAAAAAAATTGCACAAGCCAAATGTAAGAATGTGATGTACATGCGAACGGTCTCCCCCTAAATATATAGTCGTGAGAAGGGTGCATTTGTACACTTTTAGCTAATATAGTGTGCCTGATTGTAGGATTTTATCAGCGCTCCCCATTGAAAATATTGCACGAGTGAGACGCTGCTATCAAGACGGTAAGTAGCCGGTAAGTGGCGGAATAACACCGGGGCCCTCGCTGAGTTCTACCTATCCTGAGCGGGTGGTATAAGTCCTACTAACCGCTATCTCACCATGGCCATCTCTATGTTCAGCATTGTTCCTGTATTATGCCTCCGTTTCGTCTCGGTATCATCATCTGTGCTTGGCTTTGCTTTAATTTATTTCGCTTTAATTTACAGTAATTTTTTTTGCTTTTTGTTGTTTTCATATAAGTTTGCAATGCTTCATTTTTTGTTCCCATTTCATTGCCATATTTTCTTTGTGTTATTCATATACATATAAATATATATATATATATTTATATATATGCAATAAATTCAGAATATGAGTTAAACAAACTTTGGCATATCTCTCTTCTGGACAGACTGTTTCGTACCATAAGGCACTCATCAGCAGAATGACGAAAAATAGAATACAAGTAGCATCTTACCTTATTTCGAATCAAGCGCGCGCGCACGCGTTATGTCATTGAAGTTAGTACGCGTTTACGTCACTGAAGTAAGAACACATATGTCTCGATGCCGGCACTTGGAGACGATTTCGCTTCTCTTATTCAGTGTACCTAGATCTGGCCTACATATGATTATGTACTTCTCTGCTATACACAAATTGCATCTCTTGTTTACGTTAGAGTATGGCAGTGCTTTCAGAACAATGTCCCAATTAATTTCATAGTCTTTCCCCTCGTCCTTTAAGTCCCATATATGTTTACTTAGCTCTGTTTGCGCCCTCTTGCTCTCGAATCTGAATGACTGCTTGTGGTTCGCCAGTCTCGCCTTGAAGGTTGTGGATGTCAGCCCGACGTATGCCTCCTTCCTGCCTTCGCTCGTGACGGTGGCCTGGTACACGATGTTCTTGCTGAGGCACTCCCCGTTCAGCGGGCATTCGGCATTGCAGGGGCAACTGCATGTTCTACCACCGACGTCGTCCTCTTGTTTTACCTTTCGTTTGTTGATTGACTGGATCGTTGCCTTCATGTTTGGCATGCAGCTGTACGATAACTTTACTGTGTTCCGGTTGAGCACTTTGTTTGTTTAACTCATATTCTGAATTTATTGCATGGTTATAGCTCTACAGAGATGTATCGAGCACTGTGAATTGTGATAGAAGACGATTTCATTGGATATACTAGCTCCTATTTTTTATAGTTGAGCACTCTCCTGACGTCGCACTTCAAAATGGAAAGAGTGAACATTGAATATTCGACGAAGAATATTCCAGTAGCATCGAGAACAACATACCTCAAGCGCCTGATCGAGAAAACGGAAATGTTCATCAAAAGGATTAGATGGAGATCATTCTTCTTTCTGAATCCGGAGCTGAACAAAGAAAAGGCGGAGAAGGAGGAAACATATGGATTTAAGTCGCGGAGAACACCACCAGTCATCCCGGAACTGAGAGAATTCGAAGACAATTTGGTGAGTCTGATTCAAAACGTCGAATTTGAGAAGACCACTAGCCAGTTTCAACACAAATTGAACGAAGACATCAATACGATTAGGAACGATGATAAGCTTACCGTCAAGGCTGATAAGACTACAAATTATTACAAAATGGAAAAAGATGACTATGTAAATCTTGTCAGGGCGAATGTCACCAAAACGTTCAAGAAAACCGAGCAAAACGAAGTAGCGGAAATAAATCGCGAAGTGAAAAGAATTGCTAAAAGTCTTGGACTGGGCGACCGCATAGATAAATTGGCCGAGAGGGAAGTCTTCATTACTTTGAAGGACCACAAGGACAACTTCGGTAACAAACCATCATGTCGACTGATCAGCCCAACCAAATCAGAGATAGGACATGTAAGTAAAGTGATGTTTTCTATTTTCTGGGGGTCTCTTTGAATACTGCCAGACCGTCGTCCCTGTATAGTCCCACTCTATTTCTGTACTTTGGATTCAGGATCGACAGCATACATGCTACGACCAGCTCGCATGACTCCGCGCCGTCGAAACTGCCCATCGTGACATCGAATTTGCTGTCTACATTACGCTTTTTCCACGGTACCTGGTCGTTGAATACCACTGTCTGTTCCGCGTGGATGATGATATCTTTCTCCTTGCTGCTAATGTTCTCGTAGTTTTCTGCGAACCCTAGGGCCTTCAGGAGAAGCTTTTCCGTTATCGAGGGGTAGAACTCCACAAAGCAAAATTTATGAAGCTCGATTCTTGCTTGCTTGGGATCAGAGACCACGGCTGACGCAGTAGGTCTGGTCGCCCCAGAAGAATTATCGGTGGGTTGCACAACATCCGAACGATTTTCTGAAACCAAGGCTGGCACGGCCAAAAGGAAGCGATGAAAATGACTCTGCACTCCTCTTTCTCAACCTTTGTCAATACTCTTGGCAGGAGTGAGATTGGTGGAAAAGCGTATGCCAGCATGCCCTTCCAACTGATGGAAAACGCGTCTGCAGCCCATGCCTTTGGGTCCTGGTTGCGTGCGCAATCCACCGGTAACTGATGGTTCAGTGCCGATGCAAAAAGATCGATGTGAGGATGATCCCATACTTGGAAGATCGACTGAACTACTGTCGGGCGAAGAGTCCACTCCGTTGGAAGGACCTTCCCCCGGGACAGAGCGTCCGCCATGATATTCAGTTTCCCCGCCAGGTGGACCGCTGTAAGCGTAACCTGTTTCGCTTGACACCACAGCAGGAGCTCCCACGTGTGCATGCACAACTGCGGGGACCGTGTCCCGCCCTGGCAGTTTATGTAAGACACAATGGTGGAGTTGTCCGATTTTATGAGGACTACTTCCCCTGTCACCCGTCCGACAAAGTGCTTCAGAGCCCGAAAGACCGCAAGCAGTTCCAGGATATTGATGTGGCACTGTCTGTCCGCCTGGGACCAAGACCCTGCTGCTGATTCTATTCCAATATGTGTCCCCCAACCTGTGTTGGAGGCATCCGTCACCAGAGTCAC